ATATATATATATATATATATATATATATATATATATATATATATATATTCTATTTAATCTGAGAAAGGGATTGTTTGACTACAAGATAATAAATCATGCTTTTTTTATCAACGTCTTGACTCTAGACATAGTTACAAATGCTTGTCTGTAATTTATGTTTGGAAAAAATAATCTTTACAATTTACATTTTCCAAGAGCTGACCTTAAAAAGTCGCTACCTTTGCCTTTTTGAATGCATTTTTTTAAAGCGGTATTCATAAACTAACATTATGTGGGAAACAGACGCATTATTTTGAAGTCATGATGTAGTTTTAACTCTTCCCTTTCACAATAAAAGGTTATTTAAATGGAACTTTGTTCTATTTTTTTCTATAGATTGATATTCACCGTAAGTATTCACAGAACAAAGCATAATTATTGTTCTTTTTATGCAGTTAATATTAAAAAAAATCCACACAGTCAGCAGGGGGAATATAGGAGAAACAGCCAGGATATGTTACCAGTAAGCTGAGCTCTAAGAATTTAATTCACTCATTCTCTTATTTACTCACCAACATAGAGTTCAAAACTCTAAGGTAACAACATCTCTAAATAACTTCATTATTTTAATTTTGTTCTATTTCCTGTTATGAAACATGTCTCGTTCAGACGCTAATTTTTTATTTTATTTCCTCGTTTGTCTTTACTTTAAAAAGCAACTCATTCATTCATTCGCTCTCTCACGGACCAAACGTCGCCCAAAGCTGCTCTGCTTTCCATACTACTTCCCTGTTTGTTCTTGAAACAGAACTCGTTACATTATCCAACCATGTTTTACTTCCTCATGAAAGCTTCTCACAGAAGGTTGGTGATGAAAAGGCAAAACAAAATGCAAAGCAGAGCTTCATGAGAGTCCAGATGGACATTTTGCTTCCTTCTCTCTTCTCAGAGGTCTTGTTTTTTAGCTGTAGCATTTGAATAGTTAAATACTGACATATTTATAATCCCTAATGGAAAGTTTTCAGATGTTTATGTCAATAACCTCTTTGTTCTGACTCAAGATACAGTGTTATGTTTTGGGAAATTAATCTCGATTAATAATAAAAGTGCATTTTAAAGAAGGTTGAAGACGACAGAAATTATGCAGCCAATGAGTTTTAATATTATCTTGTTAAATTGATACTTTTTTAATTGAATTTCTTTGTTAATTTGTATCTTCAACGGGGTAAATATATGAGCAGTATAGAGTAATGTGCAAAATGTATAGAACATCATATAGAGTAGGATATTTTTCTGAATATTTACTGTTTACATTTCTCAATGGAAACATTCTTCAAGCCACCATTATAATCTTTATCGCTACTGAGGGTTTCATATCAACATACCCAAACTCTCCAAAGTTTGTTCCACTATTTAAAATCTTTTATTATTCTTAGCCCTCTGGCTTTGTTAAGGGATGAGGTCTGGCTGGTTTCCACTGACACCGCGTGCGCTCTTACGAGACTTTTGTGTGTGTGTGGTTTCGGGAACTGACGCTCTGACAGGACAACCCCATCGCTTCCCTTTTGTTCGACCGTGAAATCTGCTGCGCTCCTCCTGAGCATTAGGCTTCGACTCTGGGAGGTTTGAAGAACATTTGTAAATATTATATTAATGCTTCACGGCTTGTAGTAACCTAATATAAGCAGCAATAATAACATGGTTGCCATGTAAAAAATGAAATCCACATTGTGGTCAAAATTTTCCTCTTCCCAATTTCAACTCAAAAAGATCATCTCTCATCTCGCCAGGTTCCATGACTCTGTGCTGTGCTACATTTATTAACTAGTTCAAATTTATGTAACTAATTTGTATTCAAATATATCAAGAGCTTACATAAAAAAATACATAGTAAAAACTTAATAAATAAACCAGTAAATTTTTAGGTAAGTATTTATTGTTTTTTCTCCTTTCAAACATACTTAAACAAGATATTTTATGATAGTGACCAATAAAAGAAGAGCAGCTTGAGAAAAATACAAACAGTAGAAATCAGAACATCAGATCTTTTTCAATTTAATGAATCTTTCATTAGGATTAGGTTAGGATAGACTTTACCATTTTGCTTGGGTAAAAATAATTTACATATGAATAAAACAAAAACAAAATACAAGCTACTATTTTCAATCATTTCATTGTGATACTGTCACTTGTCAGCATTCACACTTATTCTCCTCGCGTATTCTTAGAACAGATGAAGTTAAATTTCTCAGTATCATTTTTTTTAAACCATAGGTGTTTTCCTCCTTTCTCCATGGCTCCAGACATGTCACAGTCGTCCATCGGTTCATTTTGGGCCGAGTTGTTGTAACGGACCTCCTCGTCACTGACCCAGAACCACAAATCCAGAGTGCAGGCGTAGCTCAGTCCAATCCAGACATAATCAGTCGATGCCTCCTTGACTTTCTTCTCGATCCATCTCTGATCACCCATGTTGGTGATGGTGACCAGGTCATGGTGGTGATCTCTGCAGTGGTTCAAGGCGTCTTCCCAGGTTTTACTATCTTTTACCAGGACCACGTTATCTGTTGAAATAGGAAATAAAAATCTGTAGCTTTATTCAAGTCTTAATTGTGGACTCATTCATCAATGCAGCAGAGTAAGAAAGTCTATGTAATATCTGTTTATCACAAAACATTAAAATATCATCAAGTACAAAGCAAAAAGTAAGAGAAACAATCAAGTTTGTCTTTCATGAATAAATCATAGTATGAGCTCTTTAGCTTATGATCAGACTTCAATTTTATTTTTAAATTTATATTTAGATATACGTAGATGTTGCCAGACTATTTCTGGAAAATTGTCAATAGCAAAGAAGAGCTTAGTTTTAGGATTCACAAGATTTTGGGGTGTGCTGTGGTGGCACAGGGGTTCAGCACAACCCATGTATGGAGGCCTTAACCCTCAACGCTGCAGGTTCAACTCCAACCTTTGCCACATGTCTTTCCTCATCTCTCATTGCCAACTTTCCTGTTAATTAGCTATCAAATAAAAGCCACCAGAGCCAATACAACCTTTAAAAAAAGGATTTTGAAGAATCACAATTTTAATGCAAAGAAAAATAAAAACAAAGTCAAATCCTGCATTCTGTATGTATGCTACTAATAAAAATCAGAGAGGGTTACTTTAGAGAATGATAAACATGCTAAGTGACTCCTTTTAAACATTCCTGTTGTTTTTGTTTTATATTGTTTTATGTTTTAGAGAAAAACAATCAAACTGATTCTTTTTTGGACAAATTAGATCTTACTTACAAATCTTTACACAGTAGTATACAATTACAAAGTGAAATCTTTGTTGATCCTAAATTGAGTTTCAAATAATTTTTTTCTCTTTTAGGCATTTTTATTCAATGTTTTATTTTTAGAGTTTTGTAAGAACAACTTACCATCATAACAGAGGAAGGGTTTTCTTTCATCACAGTTCTCATTCTTCCATCTGCCTCCATCATCAAACACAGTCATGGCACATTGACCACTGTTGATTTTCTGATTATTAAACTTCAGATTCCAGTGTCTGAAGGAGGAACTGTTTCCATCTGACCACATCCAGGTGTCACTAAACAGACCAGTAAAGATGTATCTTGAATTTGCAGTCGCTAAATTTAACCCCTTGTTCACTTCTCCATCCTGTAGCTGCTTCAATCCACTGATCAGGTCTGTGTGTTTCTGTCTACAGTAACTCTGAGCTTCTGTCCAGTTCTTTGATTCATAAATCAAGTGATATTTCTGTGATGAATCATTTTCTGTGAAATTAACAAGTCAGAGCTCAAAACACTTTCATATGTAAGTTTTAATACAGACATGAATGAGAGGATTTAGAATAACAGAGGACTGTTGTCTCACCGCTATAGCAGAGAAAATTATGCTTTTCATTACAGGATAAATCTCCCCACTTGGAAAAAAGATCAGATTCTTTCCATGTTATCCCACATTTTTGGCCTCCAGCTCCCTTATTATTTGGTTCATCTTTTGCCCATTTTGTCTCTCTTTCATTGAACTCCACTCCAGGCAGAGACCAGTGCCATGATCTCTGTGCATTTGTTTGATCATACAGACCAATCCAAGCTTCCTTTATATCTCCTAGTGAGACACTGATGAGTCTCTTCATGTCCTTCATGTTAGTCACTGTGGCCAGGTCAGTGTGTTTCTGACTGCAATACTGCTGAGCTTCTTTCCAAGTTTTTTCCTCGTTAACATAGTGATACTGATAGAGCTGACAAACCATCAGATGATTCTGAGCTAAAGAGAAAACAAAAACAAACTTGCTTTGAGTTATTCAGTCACATCATCAGCTTTATGTTAACCAGAATAAGACTTTTCTTGTGTCCCCATCCAATTATTGTATGAGAGCACATTAAATTACAATGACTTTAGATAAAATCTCAAAAATAATATTTATGTATGAGCTTACCTATCACAGTAAGAAGAAACAGATTCCACTGCATATTTACTTTGTCTGTTTTGCTTAGTGATGAACACTAAAAAAAAAGAAAAGAAAAAACAAAAGAAAATCATAAATGTGATTTCCAGAATCCCTTCCTAATATCATATCTACATACAATGTTATAAAAGACAAACTTACATCTGGTTATGTCCGTTCACATGGATGCTAGATGATTGATGTTTGGTTGTAGACCGTCCTCAGTGAAATGCTCAGTGCCTGACACCGGTCTCTTGTTTTAGCACCTAGACTCTATTTGAATATTCAAACCACAACCTAACCTGATATGCTGATGTTTACATCCTGTAATACAATACTACTGTCACGCCATAGGTAGATCAATGTCAGCTTAGATTCCATTAATAATTTTCCAAAACATTGATTTTGTTCTTAAAAGTATTGTTTTCATCATTGTCTGACTGGCCACTGCAAGATAATATCATTTTTCAACATCAGTCGATCCAAGTTATATTGTTCCAGTTTAATATCGCTGTAAACATTTAGTGGGGCAACAAAGAAATTCAAAAAGTTGTTTGACTTTAGCATAAAAAAGTTAATTACACTTTAAATGGAATTTCATTGTATTTAGATTGAACTTGATTTTACTAAGTGCAAAATAGGTTGCTTGAAAATGGCACACTAAAAGTTCATTTTAATATTTTTAAAGTAGGTTATACTTAGTACATTGATTTTTAGTATTTTTCATCTGGGATGATTCTGACAGCAAATGTAGTTCCAGTAGCAGGTTGGACATAAACACAAGAAAAGTAGACATGCTAATGTTTTTTATTCTCAGTTTGATATTTATAAAGTATATGAACAGTTGATGTTCTGGTTGAAAAAGTTGTTTTACAAATAGAAACAAGTGATATTAGTAAGGTCAATACTGACTTTTTTATTCCCAAATAAAAATATAGCCATTCACTATAGCAGCTGAAACTTGTTTTTATTGTGGAAAAAAATACACATCAGTCAGGACAGGTTGTGTGAATCATGGAAGAACCCTGAAGCCATGGTAACTGAGCTGTAACCATGACGATCAGTCTGCAGGTTCAAGGTTCTTCTGGTGTTCTTCCTGATCAGCCTAACAATGGCTGATCAGGACCTGCTGCCTGATGGCGTCGATGGGCCGTCGCCATTCATGTACAGAAACACACAGCAGGAAACGCATGCAAAGCTGAAAGAGGAAACCCAGAGCACTTCAGTGTTTACAGCGAACCAGAGTTTCAGTTCTTTTCATTCCTAATTTTACTACACCGATAGATCCTAACTGGGGTTTAAAAAGCTACAAGGATCAAATGTACATCTGTTTAATTTAGCTTGTACTGGTTTAAAAGAATGAGAAAGTTTATAAAGCACCAAAAACCTAAAGGAAATTTGGTTCATCAAACAATGTTAATATTTAAAATAAAAACAATGATAAAGGATTCATCAAAACAAAAACAAAAAATTCCTCTCTGAATGTTTCAACTCGTTCCATATTTGATGTTGTTTTATTTAGCCTCCCGTCCAGCTGCGTCTCTCTCAGTGAGTCCTGACAGAGAGCAACACTTCACCTCTGCTGTGGCATTTCTGACATGAACCTTACCAAGATATTTTTGAAGTAAAAATATTTGGTCAGTTAAAACTAGAGAGTTGTCACCATAAACAACATTGTTTCCTCTAACTCTAAACATTTTTGTCCTAATTCAAGAACTGGAAAAACTAGCGTACTGCCTCCCTCTTCTTCATTTTTATTTAAATGCGATATAATATGTGTAACTGTAGTGTAAGCAAATGGTTGTTATTAATGCCAAGTAAAAGGCGTGTAAAACACAAAAGCATTTAGATAAAACTTCCATGTATGTTCAATCACATGCTGCAATATATTGTCATAACTATTCCAGCATACAGTAGCTGGTCCGGTAAAGGCAATGTGACATGTTACACAAGACCCTGTTAGCGAAGCGCTAATGTCTAGAAAAAAGCTCATTTAGCTTTGGTGCAATAACAATAGACGTAAGAATGAAATATTAACATATGCAATTATGACATAAGTGACTGTATCTGACTGACTTCATGTGTTTTAGGATAATCCAGTCAGTGATCACTGATCAGGGGCTCATCTAAAAATCAACCAGACTGTAAACAATGACTATCCCCAGTCATTTTTATATATATATATTCAAAAGATTTAGTAATTTAAATTAAACAAAAAAATGTTAATCATAGTCACAGAGCAGTTAAATTGCAACAGGAGTTTTAATTCAGCAGACGGATTCCAGATATGAAACGTTTTTTTTTTTGTCCCAGATGAAGATGAAGCCGGTGACGTCACTTACACTCACAAAAACACCAAACAGAAAACTAAGTCCTCCAACACATTATGCTGCCTTTGATTTTGGCTAAGTACGTTTGAATACGTTTTTAATTTTACTGTATCAACAGGGAGGCATCATGGCCCACAAGAGGGCGCTGTTTACTGTGAGGACAGCAGCAGCAGGATGCCAGCAGCAATAGTGTGCAATAAAATATGACTTATCATTGAATAATTTACATCAATTGATATGTTGTCATTTAATAGTGTAGTTTGGCCTTTACTAAAGGAATAGTGATTTTTTTTGCCTCTTTGCTTTGACATTATTTTTTATTACATGTATTCTCTTTCTCTCCATTTACATGAGTTTTGAGTCCAGCAGCAGCTGATGCTAAAATATAAAAGTATGTATATAAATGAAGAAAACAAAATACATATAAGATCACTTTACAGATGCTATTATTTCACTAGTCAGTGATTTGTTTATATAAACCAGAGCAAACCATTTTATTAAAACATCTTTTTGTTTTCTACCTAAACACTGGACTTTTGTTCTTATTTATCGAACATGTTGACTCAGTACTGTTTTTTTTTTTAGAAATAACATATTCTGATAAGAAAAATACAAAAACATTTATGAATGCTAATTTTTGTTTCTCCTAAAATTCATTACTAAAATGCTGCACTAAA